AAAGTATAGTTCTTTGTATTGATTCTTGCATTAGCCTTTTGATGTTACACAAGGGAAGTATTTATAGTGATATATGTGAAATGGGAGCCCTTGGATGAGGTGGCACGTGACCTCATCTCTTTAATTCAAACATCCCATCCTAGGCATGGGGCTTGACCTGTTAGCTTGCTGCACATTTATTGCTTTGTGTAGGGCCTCCATACTGGTGACAAGACTTGACCTTTATGCTTATGACAAACGTTCCATCAATTATTAGAATAAGATCTTTATGCAGACGATTTCTTGGGAGAGGTGAACATGGAGGACACTCCTTTGTGGTTCGGAGGCTCTTGCGTTTGCTTCGGGGCTTCGGTCATTTCACACAATACTTCTGCTTGAGGGCTTCAGCTATCTTCAACTATCTTCAGCATCATGGCTTCGGTTCATGGGCTTCGGCATGTGGACCTCAGGTCCGTGTACAGGCCTCAGTAAAAGGAGCCTCCGCTAGTGGGACTTCGGCTTGAAGGGCTTCAGCATTGCCCACCTCGTTGGAATGCCACGTGGTTCGTCCTGAGTGGGCCATAATGGCCCAGATGAATTGGCCAAGTATGACCACACACAACACTTTTAATGTTGCATGTTTGCAGACCTATACAATTGAATTTTTTCTGCCATTTTATGAATTTAAAGAACACAAAAACAACGTATTGAAGCGAGGGTAATATCTGAGAATTTGTTTTATGGGTCGATTAATAAAAAATTATGATTTGAGGAAAAATAAAAAAAAATAAAAAATCTGTAAACTGTTTATAGTCAGAAGCCATAATAACTTTAATTGCCTTGTGCAATATATTCAGCTTTGGGGATAAATTAATAGTTGGATTGATGGATTGGTAAGATCCATATAGCATTCTGGTTTTGTCAGATAATTATATATGTTGATCTTCTTAAATCTTTGACATAAAAAATGTAGTTGCACAAGTGTGTTTCAATAGTCGAAAGAGTACCAAGATTATTCAACTGTCATAATCTCAATCTTTGTTCCATTAGATTACAAATATACGAAATTGGTTGTACAAGCATATCTCCCTAATTATATTGATTGATCAATCTCCATGATTTGTGTAATTGTATAATTAAAGCATGATTTGTGTAATTAGCATTAATTGCTTACCTTATGTGCTTGCCTCCTTCAACTATAAAAGGGGGGCTCTTGTACAATTTTATTTATCACAGAATATAGAAATTATTCACAATTTTTCCTCTATTCTCTTAGTTTCAACTTGGTATCAGAGCCATCTTTAGTTCTTAGCCTCTAGTTGGTGTCTTTTTTTGGTTTTACGCATTCTGTCGCTCTGTCACCACTTCTAGCATTCGTTCATCGATTCTTTTGGCATTCCAATACCATAAATTGATCCTATTGCTCCAGAGCTTTCGTTTCGTGCAAAAATCATTCCGATCCAACATCTCCACATCTGCTGCACTCGTTGTCATCTCCGACGACCTTCCAACTAGTTTTTCGTGCTCATTCCATCAGCGCTGTCCTTTTGCTCTAATTTGATTAGCATTATCATTTTTCTGTTATGACTTCTTCAAATGATCTTCATCCTATAGAGATTGTTTTGAATGGCTCCAACTATAATGCTTGGGCCTAACAAATGTTAATTTTTCTGATTGGTCGGAGATTATGGCGTTTTGTCACTCGAACAAAACAAAAACCCACGAAAACTGACAAGCAATCCATAGAGGAGTTTGATGAGGCCCTTGATGAATGGAAAATTACTCACTGTAAGATCCTTTCCTGGTTTATTAATACATCAGCTTATTCCATTCAGAATCTACTCCCTAAATTTCGGAATGCCAAACTTGCTTAGGATTTTTTGGCAAAATGCTACAACTGTGATAGTGATGCTGCTCTAGAGTTTCAATTGGAGACTAAGCTTTCCCAAATGCGTCAGAAACCTAAACAGTCTATCGCTGAGTTTCATGCTCAGGTTAGTAGCATTTGGGGTTACTTTCTCAAGCTAACCCCGCTTTTTCTGATGAGAAGTCGATTAAGCTTTTCGTTGAATTTCGTGATCGTCGTCAATTCATTTATTTTATAATGCATATCCAGGATGAATTGGAGAATACTCGAGCATCTTTGTTCCATTGATCTCTTCTTCCTACACTTGAGGTTGCCCTTACGGAGCTAATTTATGAGGAAACACGACAACAAACTCGTCGGGTTCATTTTACTGATATGGTCTTGGCTACTGCTCCATGTAGCTCATCTACTCTGGCCACTCCTGCTACAGCTGTTGCTTCTTCTAAACCGCAACGTTTCAACGGCCAATGCCACTATTGTAAGGAAGATGGCCACCGTATTTCTGATTGTCCTAAGAAGAAGGCTAAGGATGCTCTTAAGGCTAATGTATCTTACTCTTCCAAGCCTATTATTGCTGTCTCCACCAGCTTCTCGGCTTCTGATTCCTCTTCTGCACTTTCTTTGTCTTCACTTTCTACAGTTGACATTGAGGCAATTGTCACCCAGGTCCTATCCCGTAATTCTGTTGCTTTATTAGTCTCCACATGTAACTCTACATCTTGGTTTCTTGATTTTTCCTATTGCGATCATATGACCTCTGCTTCCTCTTTAGTTACTCATAGAAAGTCTTTAAATCCCGTTCCTTTAATTTATACTGCTGATGATTCACATATGTCTGTTAGTCATTTTGGTCATGTTTGTACTCCTACCCTTTCTATACCCAACACATGTGTTGTGCCTAACTTGTCTCTAAATCTCATTTCTATTGATCAACTTGTTGAAAGTGGTTTTATCTTAATCTTTTCTCACAAAGGGTGTGATGTGTAGAATCAGAAGTCGGGCCAGCTAGTTGGGACCGGGTGTAAAGTTGGTCGCCTTTTGAGCTTACATCTCTGCATTTGCCTAGTTCTTGTTCTCCTTAATCTCTTAGTGCTGCTGTGTCTTCTAGCGTTTGGCATTCTCTTATCGGTCATACATTTTTATCTCGTGTTCAGTCTTTAGCTTCTAGTGGTTACTTAGGCAATGTTGAATTTGAACATTTTGATTGTGCGTCTTGTCAACTTGGGAAATAGAAAGCTTTACCTTTTAATGAAAGTAATTATTTATCTTTTGCACATTTTGATTTGGTTCATTTTGATATTTGGGAACATGCTCCAATCTCTACTAAGGGTGGGTCTCGTTACTTTGTTATTTTTGTCGATGATTATTCTTGATATACATGGATTTATCTTTTGCATGATCATACTGGGTTACTTCATGCTTATCACTAGGGGTGGGCGCGGGTCGGTTTGGTTCGGTTCTAAAGAGAACCGAACCGAACCGAAATTTTCGGGTATCTAGTAAATGGAACCGTCGAATCCAAATATAATTATGGAACCGTTCGGGTTCGGTTCGGGTCGGTTCGGTTCTGTACTATAATTAAATTTTTTAACATTTATAACAATATTATATAAATACAATTAATGATACATTCAATGGTTTTGGAATGTCAGAGACGAGTAAACTACCTTATTCAAATGATCGCTACGATCAAAACTTCGATTGGCGAAGGTCACAGCTTCGATCGGAGGTCACAGTGTTGACCAATGATTGTATAGGTTTTGGAATATTAGCGAGGCTGCAGAGTGAGTGCGAGAGTCGAGACAATGTTATGCACTTTAGTGTTGGTGTTTAAGGTTATTTAGTGTATTTGATCTTGCTTGGCTAAGAAATGAAACAATAGAATGGGTAATTGGGCCAAAAATTAAAAAATTAGAAACGAAACAAATTATTGGGCCAAAAATTTGGATTTAGAAATCGTTTATTTGTTAATTTGTTTAGAAAAAATTGAAATTAAAATAATTTGATTTACTCAATATAAAAAAAATTTAGAAAGATTCGGTTCTTCGGGTCTTGGTCTAGAATCGAGAACTGAACCGTACCCGTCGGTTCTCAATTCAGATACCCGTTCGGGTATTTAATTTGACAAGAACCGCCGGGTTCGGTTCGGGAGATTTGCCCAGCCCTACTTATCACGATTTTAAGCAGATGATAAAAACTCAGTTTGTTCACACCATTAAAGTCTTTCGGTTTGATAATGCCATGGAGTATACTTCTGCCTCTTTCCTTGAAGAACTCCAAGAGGCAGGCACTTTGTCCTATCGATCCTATCCATACACTTCCCAATAGAATGGCCGTGCAGAATGTAAGCACCGTCACATTCTTGACACTGTTCGTTCTCAACTTTTCTCTGCATCCCTCCCAGAATTCTTTTGGGGAGAAGCTGCCCTTACCGCTGTTTACACTATTAATCGAGTTTCAATCCCTAATCTCTCCAATAAGTCTCCATATGAGGTTCTCTATAAAAAGGTACCGATTATTCTCTTCTCAAAGTGTTTGATTGTGCTTGCTTTATTTTACCTCTACCTTATAAATATACAAAACTTGAACCTTGTTCTCGTCTCTGTTGGTTTCCTGGTTATGGGATAGAATACAAGGGTTATCGGTGCTATGACTCCATAGCCAAGCATCTTCGAGTCTCTCGACATGTTCAATTTTGGAAACACAAAGTGTTCACTAGTATCTTTCCACTTTCATCTGATTGTCTCTCATACTCTCCCATTTTCACTAACCCTGCCATAGACCTCTTTCTAGATTTTTCCTCTAATGTTGGTCATGTTAGCTCATTTGGTGATCACTCTACTCCTACCTCTCACGAAATTAGATCGTCTGATGATCATGCCATCGTATCCACCCCTCCTAAGTCCTCTGATTTGGATTTTCGTCGTTCTAGTAGGGTAAAAGCACCTCCTACCCATCTTAGTGATTACCATTGTTTTTTACTCTTAACTCTCTTCACGAGCCTCGTAATTATCGCGAAGCTTGTTCTGACCCTGTTTACCAGCAAGCTATGTCCAAAGAACTTGACGCTCTTCACAAAACTCATACTTGAGATTTGGTTGATCTGCCTCTTAGAAAGACTGTAGTTGGGAACAAATGGGTGTATAAGAAGAAAATGAACTCCGATAGTTCTGAAGTAAGATATAAAGCTCGTTTAGTGTCAAAGGGTATACTCAGGAGTTTGGCATTGACTACGAGGAGACATTTGACCCTGTTGCTCGTATTACTTCCGTCCGTTCTCTTTTGGTTGTCGCCTCTGCATGTTGATGGCCTTTATTTCAGACGAATGTCAAGAATGTCTTCTTACATGGTGATTTGGTTGAAGAGGTCTATATACAGCCTCTTCCAGGGTATCCTCATCCTCTTGGTAAGGTCTGTCGTCTCTAACGTGCATTATATGGGCTTAAGCAAGCTCCTTGTGCTTGGTTTGCCAAGTTCAACTCCACTGTTGCACAGCTTGGGTTTGCTTCTAACCCCTATGATTCTGCTCTTTTTACTCGTCACACTGACACTAGCATCACTATTCTACTACTTTATGTTGATGATATGATCATTATTGGTGATGATAATTATGATATTCACGAGCTTAAGCAGTTTCTGTGTCAGCATTTTGAGATGAAAGACCTTGGTTCTCTTAGCTACTTTCTCAACTTAGAGGAGTCCCCTACCTCTGATGGCTAGTCTTTGACCCAAGCCAAGTATGCTTCTGATCTTCTCCCCCGTGCTGGTCTCACAGATTGTAAGATAGCTGATAGTCTGCTGGAGCCCAACATTAAACTTCGTCCTACTGATAGGGAGCTCCTTCCTGATGCCACTCATTACCAACAGCTTGTGGGGAGCTTGATTTATCTCACTGTCACTAGACTAGACATTGCCTATGCGGTGCATCTTGTGAGCCAATTTATGTCAGCTCCTCGTTCCATTCACCATGCAGCTGTTCTTTGCATCTTACACTATGTAAAAGGAACATTATTTCATGGGTTTCACTTTTCCTCTCACTCATCCTTGACGTTGAAGGTTTACTTTGATGCTGATTGGGCAGGGGACCCTACTGATCGTCGATCTACCATTGATTTTCTTTTTCTACTTGGTGACTCCTTTATCTCTTCGCGGAGCAAAAAGCAGACCGTTGTTGCTCGCTCTAGCACTGAGGCTGAGTATTGAGCCCTTGCTGACACTACTTCTGAACTTTTTTGGCTTCATTGGCTTTTCCAAGATATGGCTTTTCCTCAGCCCTCTAACACTCCACTTTATTGTGACAATCATAGTGCTATCCAGATTGCTCATAACGATGTCTTTCATGAACGTACAAAACACATTGAGATCGACTGTCATTTTGTGCGTCATCATCTTCAGGAAGGGACACTTCGCTTCTTGTCAGTTCCTTCGGCTGATCAGCTTGCTAATAACTTCACAAAGGCCCATCCACCTTGTCGCCATCGTTCTTTGGTTTGCAAACTCCAGTTAGCATCTTCAATACAACCTTGAGTTTGAAGGGTGATGTTAGCATATCTCCCTAATTATATTGATTGACCAATCTTCATGATTTGTGTAATTGTATAATTAGAGCATGATTTGTGTAATTAGCATTAATTACTTACTTTATGTGTTTGCCTCCTTCACCTATAAAAGAAGGGCTCTTATACAATTTTATTTATCATAGAATACAGAAGTTATTCACAGAAGTTATTCACAATTCTTCATCTATTCTCTTAGTTTCAACTATTGGGTTTCATCAAGATATACAGTAACGGTGTAATACCAGGTATTTAAAAATCGGCCACTAATTGAGATTGATGATGACAATTCAGTAGCATTCTATCGAGAGATGAAGAACTATAAAGAATTGGTAAATCCAATTTTTGTGGATACGAATTTGTAGCAGATGTTGATATCAGCTGCTCAAAACAAGAGAAATCGAACCCTCAATATATATGCTAACCAATCCATCTATGTGGATTCAAGAATTTCAAAATAAGGGATGTCTATATGATCCAGTGATTCCAGCACAACTTACAATTGAGGAAATGGAATCAGTTCTTTGCGACTGTGTAACAGGACCAGAGGAAATGGAAATGGATTTTACTTATGAAGTCATATCTCATCTTAACATCACGAGATTAAAAAGGTTGCAATAGTCTAAAATAATTGACGAGAAGTTCCAATTCAAAGTGCATAAATCAGATAAAAACGAATATGTGTTGACATTTTTGGACGATAGTGGCAAATGTCTTTATAGGTCATTGGAAAATGGAAATTTTAGAAATGTTCGAAAATCAGAAATATCAAGAATAGTCACACATGGTTGATGGACGTAGGTTTGGAAGATCATTGACATGCAACTTGTTGTTTCATTACCAATTGCATCAAATATGAACTCATCTCTTCAAGAACGATATACACTTTTCGTGACATTTTAAAGGACATAGAATAAGTATGGAATATATGAAAATGCTTGGAGAACGGACAATATAGATGATAAGGGGATCCTGAACAATTTTATGGGAAGCTATTGACTAACTTACCTATGCTCAAGGTGACAAATCGAGGTAACAAGAATAGAAATTGATGAATGTAATAGGTCTCTGTATAGTTTCCTAGCTATGGAGGCATCAATACAAGGAAGGAAACACTATAGACCCGCTATGGTAGTAGATAATATGTGCTTAAGTGGAAGTTACGGTGAGACTCTATTCACAACTTGCACACAAGATGCAAACAATGATGTCTTCATTCTTTCGTTTGACAATAGTTGCAAATGTTGTTATTGTTGGGTTTTTTCTTAATTTGTCATGAGGGCTCACATATGTAATTAATTGTACATAAAAGTTATCTTAAGGTTAAGTCAAATTAAAGTGATTTAATAAAAAATTAAAGTTTTGGCTCTGGACATCTAAATAAGTGGAAATTATATAAAAGCCTACTTTAAAACTCATTTCATAAATCCTATGCTAAGTTTACTATTTCACAAATCTAGTATTAATTTAATTATTATAAATCAATATTAACCCCTATTTTTATCAACTCCCACCAAATGAACCAAACGTTAGATCTTTTCTCCTCATCTCTCTCTATCTTCTCACTCTCTCATCTCTACATCATCTTCTCACCCCCACCACACCCGATGCCACATCACCGTCAATGATAGATGCCAATTTTATCCCGTACGCCGCTGCAATAGTGGTTGACATTGCTGCTGCTAGACGAGCAGTGGTGTCACCTCTCTATCCTTCCTCTATCTTTTCTCTCTCTCTTCTCTATTCTCAACTCTCTTTTTGTCTCTTGGTTCAGATTTGGTGTTTGGATTGCGATTTTGTTGGTGTTTGGGCAACAATTGGTGTGCTTTTGATCTGATGTTTAGGCGGCATGAGTGTTGGAGCTTGTTGGTGGCGAAGTTTTTGTTTAGTGTTTGGGTGGCGATTTCATTGATGTTTGGGCAACGATTTTGTTTGTGCGCCTGCAATCTGGTTTTCGGTGATAGTTTTGTTGGTGTTTGGATGACGTGTGTGGTTTTGCAAGGTCTGGTGGTGGTAATGGTGATATTGATGTTGGTCATGGCGGTGGTCGTGGGTGGGATGAGATGGGGTTGGATGCTTATGACCAATTATTTGATTGATTGTGACTAATAATTGGTTAATTAGTAATATATGATCTAAAAATTGTGACCGTGACTCACAATTGATTAAGTTGTGACCGAAAAATTAATCGTAACCAATTAATGTAATAATTTGCAATGAATAAATGAGTTGTGACTAATAAAAGTTTTGATTCTGTGACAAATGAATAATCTATGACCTATAAAATCTGTTGCCATTTTTATTTGCCAAAATCTAGATTTGCAATCAAATTTAAAAAATATCTTGCTATTTTGTATTTTATTTATTAGTATATCTTTGTTTGATATCTTATATTCATCTTCTACAGTATTATCATTTAATCTTTTATAGTTCATAATCATTCTTGCTTTTCATCTTTTTATTTTACTATGATTTCTAACCATAAAGGTTGCTGATTTGTGTTGACTAATAGATGTTCTTATTATATTTAAATCTAATAACTCTTTAATCTGTATATTCAAATTTTCTATATCTTGATTTGTATGTTTTATTTCTGCTGTTCTAATTTTTATATTTTCATTTATGAATTCTAATTTAGCTTCTATTTTATTTTTATCCCAATATTTTATATGGTATTTTCATATTATTTGAATTCTTTTTGTTAATTCTTAAGATATTGTCTATACTATCTATCTTAGAACATGTCTTATTAAAAATTATTAATTCTTTATTTCTTGGTATGAAATCAGTTTTTAAAGTTTCTAAAGATAAATTATCTAAAAATTGTAAATTATCTAATTTTCTTCAAATTGTGGGTCTGAGAGGCCATCACGCTTAGCTCGCAACTCTGATGATTCTACAGTATTAATAATAGAAGTGTCTTTTCCAAAAATTATGACATCTGGAGTAATTATTAAGCTTTCATTTCTACTTAATAAGAATTTTATACTAATAACAAATTCATCTTTTATAAATGTGCTAACTAATGTTGTTGTTAAACTATATTGTCTTTCTTAAAATTTATTTTACGGTCATCAAAAAGTCTTTCTTTGAATCTCATTTTACTACCATCCATTTGACTTACTCCTATTTCATATTTTAATTTTTGTCTACAATCTTTTGGAACTAAATCTTTTCTAATTATATTAAATGTGCAACCTATGTCTACTAAACTATCAAATTTAGTTTTATCATCTTATTTATTTGTATTTCTATGGGTATCCTAAGACTTTTTGTTGTCATTACTTTAGATATTTGAAAAATTATTTCTTCTTGATTTTCTGTTTCTAAATAGTTATTTTTCGTGTAACTTTCTATAATCTGATTTCCTTTTGTTTCTAGATTTACGATACAATATTATATTTCTCATAATGTTTCATGTATTTTATCTATTCTATTGTCTGTATCTGTTATTTTATTTTCTAATCTTTCTATAGTTTCACTACAGTCTTTATTTTTATTATTAATTATTTCTTCTTTGATTCCTAAACAATTATTACATTGAATTTCTAAGAAATTTTTGCATTGATTTCTATTTTTATGTCCTGGGTATATTTTGTATATTTTACATTTATCCATCATTGATCATTGTCCCCTAATCCATTCATAAATAGACTTTGTATCAAAAATTGAAAAATCTGGTTCTTCTAAATTACTACAACTATCTTCAGAACTACTTGTTATTTCTAAATTATTTAACTCTTCATCTATATAAAACTATACACTGAGTTACAAGATTTATTATCGGATCATTTTACAATGTTACATTGCATTTCTTCTGTTATAATGGATTTAACTTTATTTTCTTTATTTTATATTTATTAGGGCTTTTGTTAGCAAAATGTCTAGGATCTTTACAAATATAACATTTACAGTCCTTTTAATTTTTGGATTTCTAACATAGCTATTATAATTAGATCTTTTATTTTTATAGTATGCCATACTTGGTATGATATTATATCTTTTTCTATCTTGATATTGTTTTCCATATTTATGTTTTTTTATCCTTTTTATATAATTTTTCTTTCCTTGTCTATAATTATAAGTTTGTGGTGTATATAATTTTGAACAGAACGAATAATTAATTTCTTTATTTGCTTTCTAGCTATTTTTTCTACATAATATTCTTTTAATATATCAATTATAAATTTTATGGTGACACTAATAGTTGTATATCTTATTGGTTTTGACTCTACATCTTTTCTAATCTTATCATTCCATGGTGGTGGTATCTTTCTATATAATCTTTCAAGTATAGGTACATCTAATGTTGAACTTGCTGTGCTTGCTAATTTTTTAAAATCTGATAAAAATGGTTGTATGTATTTCATATTGCTTGTTGACCTCGAAAATTGGACCTTCCACGTGGCCAACTGAGAGCTACTCCACGTATTCCTCCCTGCGCACAATCAGCGAACGGTCAGACGCACGCAGCCGGGACCAGCGGGGGTGGTGGCGGCCGTATACACTCCGACGGTCAAGTCAAGTTTAGGTGGTCGGAACAGTATCCAGGGGTTGTGCAAAATAACGATAAGGGGGAGGAGAAAATATATAAGCTTACCATGGAGTGCTATGTAGTAAGAGTTTCATTACCTTTGCCTCTTGCCA